GTTCAAATCTAACAAATTCCTTAATTAGAATATTCAGACGGGATACCGAATTTATTCAGTCAAATTCAACCCCCAAAGGGTAGCGGTCAACCCGAAAAGGGTAAAGGGTAGCGGTCAACCCCAATAGAGAGTAAAGGGTAACGGTCCTGGCCCCCTTTCCCCACAATCAGCATCATGGAAAACATGATCGCGTAATTTTGTCTGGGGGCCCGAAATGCAATGAATTTGTCCACCCCTCATCCAATTTTTAGACATTTATTTTTCAAAAATTAATTTTTGGAATATTACCAACCACGTGTTGCTAGCTCAGCTCCTACTTGGTCCTACCTAGCTGCAGTGGCGGAACCAGGAACTCTCGGCTTTTCTGTTTTACGTCTAATTAAAATATTATAGTTATATAAAATAAATAAAATATATAAAAAATTAAAATATAAAAGATCAAATTACAACACAAATGAAAGAGTAAAGACTAGAAAAAAAAAGTTGCAAATCCAATTGAAGAATTAATGTGAGCTATTTCATTTTAATAGATTTAAAATATCAAAAATGTTATAATTATAATGTCACTTAATATTTTATATCATTATATAATTAATTTTTTTTATTTAAGAATTTACTTATAATATTATATGTGTATATATTTATTTAATACTATATTATACTTATTTAATATCATATCATGATTAGCATTATAACTATAATATTTTTTTTAAACATATGAATTCCTCTTTCTTCTTTGATAACATCCAAATTTAATTAGACCCTCAATCCTCCTTTAATTTTCCTCTATTGCAATGAATTAAGAAGGATTTGTGTAAATTCTCTTCAAGAATCTTTGTGAGGGTCTAGTTGGATGGTGTATTAGAAGCTAATATGGATAAATTATGGGATAATCTTGAAAATTTTGTATTAGGTAATATTTGATTTTTAAGGGATTTAATTGAGAGGATATGAAATTAAATTTTAACTTTTTAAAAATGAATTTCATTGATTTTAAGAGTTCAAGTTACTTGAACAAAGTTATAGAAGTGGAAGTAGCTAGAAACAAAGAGGGAAAAAAAAACATAAAAGTGGAAAAGAAAGAAATTGTAACCATGAGAAATTATGAATCAAAGCATTTGTATTGGTTTACTACAAGAAAAAATAAATTTTGCAATAACATTTTTTAAAATATTAAATCTATTCTTCTTTTATATTTTAGTTATTCAAGGTATAGGTTATGTATTTATTTTTCTAATTTTCTTTCCACTTCAATACTTTATATTTCTTTTGGTGTTCTTTTCATTTTAGTTTCTTAAAATCTTAAGTATTTTATTTTTCTTCAAATTCATCCAACTACAAGGTAGGGTTTAAACAATTAGATCCTTTAATTTCTTCAAATTCTTTTGGCCCAGGGTAGGCCCATACCTAACCCTGGGCCAACGTGCTTCCGCCACTGCCTAGCTGTGTTTAGAAAACAACATTATTTGTAGAATTTTCATATTCTGTTTTGGACAAGGCTCTTGAAGCTTCTTTGCCAAGGAGAGGAGACAATGTAGATGCTTACAGATCTTTCCTTAACATTTTCTAAAATAATGTTATGGCTTGGAACAAGATAACAGGTGAGAAATTGTAAAACAAATGTTAACAAGCTCATGCAATGCAGAATTACTGACTTAAGTATGCTAATTTGGACAGCCAAAAAAGAAAAGTATTACCAATTTTCAATGTTTATGTTTGTACCTCGTTGGCTAATTCAAATAACAGTTCACGTGATTCTGAGTGTTTGCACCGTAAACTACAAAAATTTAAAATCATGTCACATGTCAAATATTTTTAAATGGATGGAAATGATTTAATCATGTTAAATATGCAATTTTAAGTCTCATAACAGATTAAACATCACATAAGAAAGAAAGAGATAAAAATATAAGATTTTATCTTTGGTTGCATATTTGAGTCAAATTCAGTTTGTTTTAACTGAAATTTAAGAAATAGTTTCAATTATGGGTGTGGGTTGGCTGATAATGGGATCAGTGGCAAAATCTAAAAGGAATTCTAGTTCTATCAACTAATGTCCCACTTCATCAAGAAACTACCCATTATTTGTGTGCTTGCAGAAAGTGCGGAGTTGCAGCTGGGGAAAGGGAAACAAAAGGAAAATTTTTTATGATTGAACATGCAGACAACCCTACAAACAACTTGAAAATTTTTCAAACTTTCAATTTTTTTACAATTGCTTACTTTAACTTATAAATTTCGGATTTTAGCATAATTCCCATAAGATTTAAGTTGTTTTTCATCATTCCAATAGTTAAATTAGTTCAGGTTTTTGTTTCAGTAATTTTGTTTCATGTAAGGAACATCAAATTTTGAATTTCTGCAAAGTACTATTTTTTTTTTCAAATTGGTGTTAATTTAATATTTATGATCAATAATGTTTCATCAAATGATTACTTATATGATATTCACACTTTTTCTCAATTTCAAGCATGATAATTTAATCCCTGTTTAAATTTTTTTAAGTGTAATTTCATATTAAATCCTTAATTCTGTAGTAGTTTAATTTTTAAATTTGTTTATAAATAGCAATTTACTCTGAACATACTTAATTTAATTTGGATGCATTTTTTATTTGCGAATTTACTTTAATTTATATGCCATTTAACTCATTTAGAATCTATTAACTTTGATTCACAGTAATATTTAAGTCCTTGAAATTATTAAAAGCAAATTTAGCAACACATTTTGCAAGAAAACATTCCTCCCTCTTACAAATTGTCTGTAGGCATAAATTTTAATTTTAAACCAACGTTCTTCCCACCATCCACAAGGAGATCGACCATGAAAAAAGAAAAGATCGTTGGAAAAATCTTTCTTTTTTGCTTTCAACAAAATAAGTAGCTTACTTGCATTCAGATTCCGCAGGTTTAAAGCTACTAGATGATTTTTTAGGAAACCTGAGAATCGTACTTTTTGTTAAATTCATGGATACCGACAATTTAGCAGCTGAAAGCAAGTATTGAGTTTGATACAAATGCAGTGATGGTAATGGGAAAAGTGCAGCTGCAGTTGGTTAAAATAATCTCCATGGAGCCAAGGGAAGCTAAGTGACTGGAAATTTCGTAGTTAGGGTCACAAGAAGTCATGATTTATCTTGAGGCTTACCAACACACAGCTTTCTCAACTTTCTGTCATGATTGAGCATGGCACTTACACTCTCAACCACCAGAATAATCTGCAAAAGAATGTAGTGTTGTTATGCAGAGAAATTGAAATGACCAGATTATGAAAAATTAGCAGGAATTAGAAAAGATATCACTATGTCTTCTGTCATGACTATGCCATTGAGGATGATACTCATAGCTTTATTTGTAGAGAAAAACCATTTTTTCGCTCATTTAAAATTTTATTTTTCTCATGAAAATTATTGAAATTTTCATCTTAAAGCATATACTATCGTGTGAAAACTAGGGAAAAAGTAGATAGCAAAACCTGCAACCAAGTGTAAACAATAGCTGTTGCAAAGTAGAAGTTTGCATTGCCAGTGCCCTGTAAATTTCTGTGTTAGCAGGGAAATTCTCCTCATTTGGGAACAGAAAATAGATTAATGAAAGAGGCATACCCTCCATACCCTCCATACCCTCCATACCCATAGATTAATGAAAGAAACAAAGAAATAGTACAAGAAACCTGCATAGGGAGACATTGACGATTGCTTTAACCAGAAACCTTCAGCCACTACACATGAAGATAAACAGGTGAATGCAAAGATGTAAAGCAAAAAGGGTGTGCTTAGAAGTTAGAAAGAGAGTAACTAAGCAGTGAGCGTACAGCGCCGGAGACTGGTGAGAGGAGTTGAGACTTCCGGGCGAGAAGCTAAGTTAAAGTTTTGGGGAAAATAAATTAGAATGAGCCTGAAGAAGATGGATGCAACGACCCAACTCCAAAAGGATGCCACTTTCTTCTTCCTCCTCTGATGGGTAGTCTCCATTTTCACTATTTCAGTGCGCAGGGGATCACAGGAGAAACCGAAATGGAGAGGAAGGGAAGAGATGACAACGGTGGCCGTCAAACGACGTCGGGTTGAAACCAGGTCAATTCAGGTCTTGGATGGGTTTGGACTTTGGAGGATATGGGCCAAGATTAATAGACTGCCACAGAGGCCCATCATTCACTAGGGGTTTTTTTTTTTTCCCTCCTTGGAATTTGTTCTTCAATTAAACCTAAGTACTAATATATTAAAAGCACAAATATTTGCAAGAAAATGGTTTTTCTTTTTTCAGTTTAAGTTATGAAAATACTAAAATATCCGTAATAAATAAGAATAATTAAATATTTTTACCATTTAGACTACATGCAGTTTAGACTAAAAAGACATTTTAACATTTGTAAATAAAAAATTTTGATAATTTGGATTTACACTTTTTTTAATCGGCACAAGTTACAATTCATTTGATTTACTATTGTTAAGCAATTTAGAGCACAATAAATTAGTTTAATTTAATAAAGGGAACTCTGTTTTATA